GTTCTCACATTTGACATATGAACACATCATAAATTACACAGCCTTTGATACCGTGATTCATAAATGTTCATGTATATTCAAGTCTACATACACACACACACACACACACATATATATATATATATATATATATATATGTGTGTGTGTGTGTGTGAAACCAACATGTTATCGTGGGAGTTGTTTTTACCATTTTTTACATTTCAAACTTCACAACAAAATGTTGTGAAGGTAAAAAAAACCGAACTTTCACAACAAAAACACTGAGAAAGTTACCTTCACAGCATTCTACTTTTGAAGTTTCAAGTGTAAAAAAAATGATCTCATGAATTTCACGAAAACAGGCTGGTCTCACATGATGCCAAGTCTATATATATATATATATATATATATATATATATATATATATATATATATATATATANTATATATATATATATATATAGAGGTTGGTTATTATACAACCTTTGTCATTTGTGCAACCAATACAACTCAATCTCAACCGTCCATTTCATTTGATTAATATGTGATTTTATAAAGGTTTTGATTATTTCCTAATATAAAGTATTAATCATAATTAATGAACCGTATTCATCTTCCATAAATATTTAAATCATAATAAATGAACTCTAATCATTTCCATAAATATTTCAATTTATTGGGTTGCATTGGTTGTACAAATGCGATAGGTTGTATTTGAAATAAACCCTATATATATATATATATGATAGAATAAACATTTGTACTGATACAAGTATGCGCACTCTTTAAGCCTTCCCTTAAAGCAAAATCTTGAATGGATATTATACATACTCGTATAAAAATCACTTCCAACGATAAGATTATCAATGGAAGAATGCTAGTGATTTGAATTTCAAATTAGACGGGTGTTTTTGTTCTTGAATACTCTCAAATAACAAATATGATGAAATTCTGTGATAACTCATGAGATTAAATAGATTGGCAAATATTATCAAAGCGTTGACCAAAAATATCTACTTTTAGCTCACAAATCGGGTGGAAAATCGTTGTAGACATCTAGATCCGTCTTATACAGGTGTAAGAAGTGAATCTCTCCCTTGAATAATGCAGATTCAGACAGCCAAATCTGAAATCCGTCAAACATGGACGTCCATAACTAGACCCATTGGGGACACCCAGAACCCGGTTTGAACAGATTTTTGAAAAACTTACCACAAAAAAATTAATACGACACCAAATCTCGAATAACTATCTTTTCAGTAAAACTTAATTTCTTTAAGGCCAAAACATTTTCTCAAAAATGTTTAAAACGAATCTTACATTCTAATATCAATTTTGACTTTATACAAAATAATTTGCATGCTCTTCAAAAAAACAATAGACAGCTAAATTCTTGCTCGTTTTATGAAAATTTTCCAGTTTTAAATTCTTGTTGATACGAAATATGAATCGTGAAGATTTGAATCTTAACTTGAATTTGATTTTTCATTGAAATTATTCATGGCACACATCTTGAAGTATATTAAAATTTTGGAACGATATATCTCTCAAGTCGATTTGTAATTTCTTTTAGTATGAGTCTGTCGTATTGTTTTCTATTTTCTCAACCGAACCTTACACTATTTGAGATCCATGGTCATCCCAAGATTGGACGAGCCTTTTCTTTTGGGTGGCTCCTCGGAGTACCCTTATAGGACTATATAGATGTCTATCTATTGTTCTCGTTTGAACTCGTCTCTCTCTCTCTCTATATATATATATATATATATATATATATGTATGTATGTATGTATGTGTGTGTGTGTGTGTACTTTGGTGAGAGGTTCAAATAAGAATGTTAGATATGGTAAACAACTAAGAAGCAAAGAGACCGGGAAAAAATATACTTGAATAAGCATATGTGAACCAACACCACAAGTTATTACTAAGGGTTCACATATGCATCTTTAAATGAAATTTTTCAATGATTCACATATGAATCTTCTTTTGAACTTTTTTTCTCACGATATTTACCTTCTTATTTGAATTTGCCCCTATGGTTTTGGGCTCGTTACTCCATTGAGCTAATTTTTGGGAGTTAGTTCTGTTACACTCCAAAAACTGGGACAACAAAAATTTCCAAAGAAAACTAGGAAATAAATGGGTTTAAAACTAACAACCTCCTAATCTAATCCTCAATGAACTAGATGACAATCGAGTCTCATTCAAACCATCAAAAGACTATGTCCAAAACATGGCGTTCCAAAAGTACTCCCCAAAGCTCAGACAACAGCTCGTTCAAACATGCTTAGAAACCCCGCCATTAATTAGAACCTAAAATACATTCCTACACAAAACAAGTGTTAGGCCAAAAAGTCTAGTGAGCATGAACATAATATAATCAATCATAGATATTCAGTTATAAACCACGCATACCATTCCTTTGGAGCCAACCCGTATCTATTGAGAGGGGCAGGACCACATAACTATGCCACTCATCAAACGTTGTCATATAGCACTTTAAGACACATTGTCTAAGTACCTTAACGGCCGCTTAGCAAGTTTCACCTCATATAAAAAAAACCTAGTAACGTTAGTCTGATTAGAGTCTGGGTGTGATTAGTATGTCTAGATTACTATCATAATACTCGTTTTTAAAAAAGAATGCCATATAAAAAACTATTAAAATTAATTATTGTGAAATTTAATATGGATTTTTAGTTTATTCCATCCATAACTCATATATATTTGTTAGATTGTCTGACCTATTATAAAACCTTAAGTTGCACAAGATGCACGACTCTCTTGATCCTATAAACTTAAATATCTCATCGTCAAATACTGTTATTGAAAAAACTGTGACTGTGCTAACATGCCAGTTTTGATGTAGCAACCTTTTGATTTTATCTTTGAATGACGAACTACTAGAGATAAATTAAAAAACTCGAGGACATGTGATCGAACTTGATTCAAATTCGTTCCTATTTCATCAAATTGCTTTTATGATCCTACGCTAGTGACACTGCACTCATAACCACTTCCAATGTATCATACGTATACATAGAAGTTACAAAAACACAACCTTGATATCATACGTAAACGATTAATTATGATACTTCAATCATGGAATTTCTCACAATTTGAACATACGTTGTACCCTTTACAAGTAAAACGGGGATTGCCTCACAAAAATCCATCGCCTTCATCATTATCTCTGTAATAGGTTTTGACATTTTCTTTGTTTTGTCATTGTTGGATAACGTTATGGAACTATTTTGTTGTTATTGAAAACATTAATTTTATAAAGTTGAAGGGTGAACGTAATACTTCCAAGTGGAAGGAGTTTGATTATAGAACTCGGGTGTTTTCGGTATTCAATTAACCAAGAATCTTTTTGTATTACGTATGGAGTTAAATATATATTGTATTTCTTTTAGATCTGAACTATAATGATTGTTTCAAGAAAGGACATGCTAGCAAACAATTTGTATATACCAACATTTGAACGGTGTTGGTGTGTTGGACAAATGTTTCTCTTGCTAAAATGTCGATTTTGACCCAAACAAGTAATGCATTTAATGTAATATTAGAGGCTACGCGAAATACACGTTTTTTCAACCATAATTTGCAAAATTAAAATTTCTTTATTTTTAAATACCCGTACGTGGAAAATTAACTACTATGATGGAACATCAGAAAGAACTCATGAGATTAACTTGTTATATTTCTGAGTTATAAACGAACGAACTAACTGATGGAACGAACGTAGAGTAGAAGAATGTGCACATCAAACATAAACACAACATATATGGTGTCTGAGGCCTGTGTTGAGCACAGTGTTCTTAAAACACTCGATAGAGACTACAAAATCTCATTCAACAATTCATTTTTCCAAAAATCCCCCACATGTGATGTCACAAAATAATAACACTCGTTTTAGTTAGTGGTTGAAAAGTGTAAAGAATGATAGGTGTTATACCCTTTTAACTTTCTTTTGTGAAGTATATCTAGCCAACTAGCTGACCAGTAGACTCGATGTCATTGAAATGTTCTACCGTTTATGTGAACATTAACATATCTCACACGTGATTCTTCCTCACATAGCAATGCCGTCATTGATGTGTTTGTCAAGGTCATGAACACTAGCCTGGTTCTGTATCTTAACGAAAACTCTAATTTTTAGAGTTATTACATGCCTTTTATTTTTAAATATTCGTATGTGAATTTCGGCCTTTTTGCTTCTTAATCACCCATATTTGGTCTAATATTTGCTTACGAGTGTCGACTTGAATTGGTCATTATATATATATATATATGGTTTGGATAATGATAGAATTTTAAGCATCTCGATCTGTTGTGGATAGGATGATGAATGATGGTGGTGTGATCATAAGAGAAGGTTATGGGTGATGATAGATTGATTGTTAAAAGATGGAGACCACATTGATGGAATATATGTTTGTAGGCGTAGATGGTGATGGATTGTCGTAGCATTTGGATGTTAAAGAGAAAGACGAATGTTAAGAAGCCAAGGAAGAACAAATGTGCATGTTCTTGGGTACCCATATACCAACAAAAACCAATGCAAGACAATATTATTATTATTATTCTCAAAACCAAAAGACTATGATACCCTTTTAAAAATAAGGAACAAAACCGACACATAATACGGAATTTATGTGGTAATCGAAATGAATCATTGATATTCTTTGTTTCCGTGTGTGGTAATTCCTTAACAACTCACTTTCGATCTTCTAACACTCTTGTTTTAGGTCGACTTACGATGAATCTAAGGTCATTTGTGATGGTCCGATGGCTTAGACAGTACGCATATCTATCGTTGTTACCTGAGAATAGTAATTAAATAGTGATGCCCATTTGTGTAGTTATATTATTTTTAAATTGCAACAAGTTGAAAACACCGTAAATTAAGTTAAAAACATGAATCCGTGATTGGATTAAATCCATTAATTTATAGGTAGCCTAGAAGAAGTTAGCCAAGGTTATGGTTCATGATATACTCCTTGTTTTGGCCAACGCATACTCCCGTGAGTCATTATTCCTTGTGGTCCTAAAACAAAAACACACTCATGGATTGATCGATCAACTACATACAACTCTAAATTGCTCACTTCCACATTCAATGCGAACAAGCAGCCATGGCAGACCTCTGTGATTTGCAGGTCCATATTAATGGTCAACAGACATTCTATCTCCACGAGGTAACATTTACTTCTCTTCTCCGTCATCTACTTCATTAAATTTCTCAAAAGTCTGATGATTAGGGTTTGTTGCAGAAAACGATATCAAGATTCTCTGGGAAGTTAAGGAAGATCATCAAGAAAGAGAAGAGACGAACCCAGATCAGAAAAACGGGAATCGAGATCAATGATTTCCCTGGTGGCTCTGATGGGTTTGAATTGGTTTCGAGATTCTGTTACAACAATGGCGAGATCAATATCTCGGTTTCCAACGTTTCTCTCCTCCATTGTTGTGCGGTGTTCTTGGCCATGAATGACACCCTCTTGCCCAAAACCACCGACCTTTTCAACCGGATGTTCGACTGGTCTTGGGACGACGTCGTTGTCTGTCTCAAGAACTGCGAATCCTTCATTTCTTACGCTGATTCTTTCGGCATCATCGAGAAACTCATCTCAGCTCTCATCATCAAAATCACACAAAACTCAGATTCCACCACTTTATTCCCATCTTCATCTTCTTCATCTTCTCCAGATAGTACTGTAAAATCCAATTCTTTGTTAAGACTCTCATCTTGTTCTTCAAGCAAAGGGCTATGGTGGTTCGATGATATGACAATTTTGCCCCCAGCCATCGTAGAACGATTCGTGAAAGCCCTAGGTGCCTACCGCCATGAAAACACCAGTTTACCCCTCACAAGATTCCTCCTCCATTACTTAAAAACCGCATCTCAGTCAAAAATGCCATCTTTTTCGAGGTGCGAGTATGGTGGACTTGCAGACACCGCCGTCCACGGCGTGGTTTTGATCGGAAAATCCGCGTTTTCTTGCAGAGGATTGTTTTGGGTTTTAAGAATCGTTTCAAGTTTTGGGATGAGTAGAGAATGTCGGGGTGGATTGGAGAGATTGATCGGTGGGATGCTTGATCAAGTAAAAGTGGATGATTTGCTGGTGAGCAATAATGGATCAAGTGGTGTGTATGATGTGAATCTTGTGCTGAGGTTGATCAGAGAAAGCAATAAAGTAGAGGGGGTATGTTTGGAAAGAATGAAAAAGGTCGGGGGGTTAATTGATAAATATTTAGGGGAGATTGCACCAGATCAGAACTTGAAGATTTCAAAGTTTTTGGGTGTTGCAGAGAGTCTACCAGATTGTGCAAGAGATTGCTTTGATGGGGTCTACAAAGCCATTGACATATACCTTGAGGTAATTCCTTCGCTATCAGTATCAGTAACAGTATCAAGAATTACTGTATAACAATACATTTATAAACGGTTTTTTTTAATAAAAAACAGACGAATTCCAAACGAATATCTTTTTTTTATTTCTCAATATGCTCGATTTTAAGAAGCAGTAGAGTTATCGTTTTTCTTGGGATTTTTCTGCATACAGAGTCTATTGTAGGATATAAGGTATGTGATACGATGTTACGGTTAACAAACCGATACATTCGTTTCTTGAAAACGCTTAAAACTTAGAAGCTAAACATGGTAAAACATGATTTATATTATTTATAGATTGATATTTTTTGTCCATTTGAAGGTCAATAGATGCCTTTGAATGAATAATGGGGTAGGGGATGGTGACAAAACACAAACTACAAGAGATATGACAAATTCTGCCTATTTCCATTTTAGGATCATAAAAAATATTTAAATTTAACTAAATTCACATGTTTGTTTTATTTATATATATATATATATTTAATTTAATTTATGTAAAATTATTTACGTCGAGATGAGATGCATTGGATCAATCTCCATATCAAGTGTCAGTCATTGGAGGGTTTGAATTAAAGGTGATTAAAGGTCTAAATCCATTTTTAGACTTCTCACATCTAACTGGTATTTGATAAATACTTAATTAGTTATTTTAAATATTAAATGAAATATTTACTAATTTTTTAAAATTGTGATTATAATATTAAATTTGTAAGCAATTTGAAGATTTTCATTCATGTATCTAAGATTATTTGCTTGGTGCATTATTGCCGTTTGGCGTTTTTCTTGATCACCGTCTATGATGAATAGTATATTTGATTTTATATGTGACAAAAATATAAATATATAGTTTATGTTATAAAAAAATAAGATATTATATTTCGTCTTAATTTATTTGTTCAGATGTAAATTACGATAATATTTGTTCAATAAAATTCGAAACTTTTCTCTGGAAACTTTTATAGGTTGAATTACATTATATACCTCTATCATTATCTTAATCATTGTGTGTCATGCATTTAATCATATATGATATTGAAACTTATATATATATAGTGTATGTATACTAAAATATACATTATATATACAAATGTACAACAAAATATATAAACTACAACTTAAAATTGAAATAATTGAATAAATTGAATTGGTTTTAGGGGTTGTTTGTTTACCTCTTAATAGTTCCATTAAGAGACAGCATCTGAATCATTAAGAGGTGAATCTTGTTTGGCAAAAAAAAAAGTTTGTCTCTTAATAATGGTTCTAAAAACCTCTTAATGATTTTGTATCCCGAGCCTTCCTTAACCATTAAGTGTCATGCTTTCATTGTAAACAATTACCAAACAATTATATTTCATTTTACATTATATCATAAAAGTATTTTAATTATTTTGCACCAAACCATTCAGCAACTGACACATATACATTATTGATTTTTAATATATGTTAGATTCATATATTCGAAATTGGTTTGGAAAATAGCTTCTCGTACTTTTTTATAGTATCTTGCGTTAAAAAAAGCTATTTATTTTGATTTGTGAAAATTAAAATAAACAATCAGGGGAATAAAAGAGATTAAAATAATAAATACTAAATAAAAACAAATAAATCTACCCTCACGGATGGCTTAAGCCGACATACTGAACAACTTATGAAGCGGCTGAGCCACTGTTTGTATTGTACTTTCAACTTTAACTATTTTATCTTATTTTGTTTTAGAAAATTGTTTTATGCTTTGGTTATTTATTTTTCATGTAAAATTTTAAAAATAATTATTTTATAATTTAAATATTCATATATTGCTTAAAAAGTAGGGGTTTTTTATCTGCCTAAAATACTTGTTAGTTATAAATCAAATATTTAAAATATGTATTAATTAAAGAAAAGAAACACATAAGCAGATTATTAAATATTTATATTTGTTTAAAAAAATTAAAATAAAAAGATATTTGATAGATAAATAAATAAAAAGGTGAGAACGTGAGGGAATCAAAAATTCACTAACTGGAGTTTTAGGTGAGAAAGCTGTAGAATCCAGTGGACGCCCACATGATTGCTGTGTTGCTCCCCACCACACCCTATCTCAACCTCCCACAACTCACTTTTAACTTTTCCACGTGGCCCTACAGGGATGACAAGGATCATTTTGGTCCTATTAACTCGTGTGGGTGCTATAATTTCCCATCTTCCACACTTTTCAAGGATGATTCTACTCTTTCACATAAACAAATCATTTTTATTTTATTTTTAATTTGATTTTCTGTGTAGATGTCAGATTTGTATATATCTCAACGTTTAATTTGATTTAACATTATAGACTGTGAACTTGCAGTCGCACCCATGTTTATCGTTGGAAGAGCGGTCAAGGCTATGCAGGTGCTTGAATTACGAGAAGCTAAGCTTGGAAGCATGCAAAGACCTAGCCAAGAACCCTAGGATCCCACCAAGGATCGCGGTTCAAGCACTCATGTCACAACATTCCAACATACCCAGTGCCGATCAGCAAGACTACTACATAAACGACCATGATCATGATCGCAGCATCCCATTGACCAAAAGCAGCCGGGAACTGATGGTGCTGTATAATAAGAACGACCATTATAATTTCGAGTCTGCAGACCATGGGTCGGTGAGCAGCTCTCGATACGAACATGATCCACAGAAAGAGGTGGTGGAGGATCATGGTGTTGTGAAACTAAACCTGCAAAAGATGCAATGGAGGGTGGTGGAGTTGGAGAAGGTTTGTAGGGAGATGAAGGGTCAGATGTCTAGGATGGTTAAGGGTGATCAAGGCATCATGTCAAGGTCTTCTAATGGTAGACCATTGCCCAGATTGTGTTGACCCTTTTTGGGTTTTCTTTTTTCCATCTTTTTTTTTGTCTCGTATAAGAATGTGTTATGAGTGTGATTTTATGTATATTAATTGCTTCAAATCCGGGTTTGGTCAATTGGTTTCCATGCAGAACCGGTTATAAAGCTCATATGATAGCTTTATGCTTACGCAATCCGAAAATCAAAGTAGGGTCTAGGGTGAATTGTATGTAGACTTGTCATCTGTTCCAAACGTACTCGTATATCCCACTTAAAGCCAGATCTGGAAGGGATAAGATGTATGCATACCTTTTCTCTATCCAAGGGGTAGACGGACTGTTTATGTGAAGACCCGAGAATCTCTATCCAAAGGGTAGACGGACTGTTTCTGTGAAGACCCGAGAAACCAAGTACATAGAGATGAAGAATTTCTTTAGAAGGCAAGACAAGCCATTGGAAAAGGGGGAAATAGTATTAAAGACTCGTGAGTAGTTTATAGTGGTATCATCTGTGCATTGATAGGCTGTTTTTGGATCCAAACATAATGAATGCATCATGGATACAGCAGGCACTAAACAAAATCAAACCTCAACTACTGTTATAAAGGGCTGTGATTCTGCAGCCTGAGATTTTGCTATCTTTCTTAAAGAACGGTATTGTAGCCGAACCTTCTCTCCACTTTCTATAATATTAAGCAGATACCTGCACAGAATGCATTGCTATGAGTTCAACTTCCAGTAAGAAAACCAAACCAACAAACGCAGTATATCCTATACGGAGGGTCCACTATAAAAAAAAGTTGAAAAATATCCAACCACAAGATTTGGTGTCTGCATTATGAATGGAAAATTAATTGCAATATTATCAATGAAACCAAGTTAATAAGATTTTGGGAAAATGTGTGCAAAACTAGTGAAGCATCACAAGGATGCAGTTAACCCTCTGGGGTAACTCAACTGGTAAGAACTTGAGTTTGTTCCCCCTGAGGTCACGAGTTCAAGTCCTTTCAGGGCCAGCGGAGGGTTTGCCTGGCTGCTAACTTTAGGGACCCCTGGGATTAGTCGAGGTGTGTGCAAGCTGGCCCAGCACCCACAATTACAAAAAGAGAAGAAAAAAAGGGTTGCAGTTCATCAAGCTTTGTTGCTATGGACCTCAATGTAACAGCAAACTGAAGTGTCCTTTTTACCATGGGATTTATCAGACAATTCTAGGGATTCTCGATAGTACTATATAAAATATAGATCATTAAAGAAGGTACAGTTCAGGAGGCGAAGAAAGATAGAGATGATAAAGGTTGTAACTGAAAGACAGGATAGAGGTATATGTACTAACCAGCCATTAAGACATTGTGACGTGATGACAGCCTCTTTCCCAATAAATTTATCCGGTGTCCTCCTATTTCCCTGCAGTCAGTGTGCCCTTTTAACTCGTTGTCCGTATATGCAACTTAACACACCAAAAAAAACTCACCTTAATTACAACTTTCTCATTTACTGTGAATGGATATTGTACACTTCTATGTAGTCCATTTTCAGCACTAAGATCCCCATTTCCCTGAAATGTTCATGACCCGTGCATTAGGCATTTAATTTTACCAAAAGATGTACTACACTATGTATGACAAAAAAAAAGCGAAGTAAAGATTCTTCAAATGAGGAATAAGGAAATAAGATCATTACTTAGTATAGTCACAAATTATTAGTGATGTTGATTTGTGCAAAAGGTTGACCCATGGGCATGCTACCATCATAAGGCTTTAAATTGAGCACTTGGACATTTTAGGCGTTCTATAAACACAATTTTGTTGTGTTATATGAACTATCGTCACTGAAAAAATTCCTCCAATCAAATTTGAAACGTGTTATTTTGCTGATGTCACTATCTCTTGTTACAACTGGGCATAATCGCTTTAACTTAAAACATGTAGAAAGAATGTAATATAAGCATACCCTGTGGTCACCGACTTCTTTTCTACGCTTTCGCAAGGCAGCATTATGAAATAGCCTGTGATCATCCTCGTGCTTAATTGCTGCTGCTGCAGCTCTCAAAGCTGTCATTAAAAAAAAAGAATAAAAGGAGCAGCTAGCAGAAGCAAAAGAAGTGTATCTGAATTCTGTAAAACAAGTCAACTAGGACAGAAGAAAAAGGATCAAAATAAATATCATGCGAGTGAACCATAACTTACCATGATTGGGGATTAAAGACCCGGTCTCAATTTCGGTATCACAGAGTGTACATCTTGCCTGTGATGTAAAACTTGTGCTTGTTATCATTCGCAAGTCTTCCAATCTAGAAGTAGTTAAAAAATTAAGGTGTTCAAAATCTATATATTTAGTTCACCCCTACAATCATGCACATGAACATTTTCCCTATAAAATACAATCATTTAGAAAAAAATACATGCTAAAACCTGGGATTGTAACCATCTTATTGGTTCATCGGTCAATCTAGTGGGACACCCAATTTCTGATAAACTAGATACTGGAAAAACTAGAAGATTCCACACCTCAGCAGATGATATGGTCTGTTGAGAGCAATCAGCGACATACTTCAAGTTAGGCTTTTTGTACTATAGAGAATCGTGCAAATCTCCGTAGTATCCTGGCCTTTTGGTATTGTAAGTTTTGTTGGATAAACATTTCAGCAAAAGTTCTCTAAAAGAGATTATTAGCAAGGGTTAAGATCACAACGGTCACATACAGATATCAAACAAACTCAAGGCCATGGTATGAAATTAGCATAAAGCTTAGAGCTAAGGGAGAACAATAGTTAACACACAAAAGGGTAGCGGCAATATTCTATCAAGATGCCCTCCTATGTAATAGCCAATACTTGAGAGGCAGTTTCTTATTGTCTCAAAATCACTTAGGGCATCATCAAACAAACGAATAAATATGAGCAATTTGGTGAAAAGAACAATGTTTTTGGGAATACGGGCATAAAAGCAAGATAAATAGGGTGTTTGGTGAACTAATAAATGATGAGCTCTTTCAACAAAGTGTCATTGATGATAAGATGGTTATGATCACATGCATTTTTATTAAATAAAAATAGTCACGCAGAACTGTCTTTATGATCCAAAGAGAACAACAATGTCTATAAAATAATTGAACATACACACAATGGTGTAAAAAAAAGTAAACAAAAAAAATAAGAACAGGATATTTAATAGGCTTTTCATGTGGCAATATCTGGCAAGAGTGGAGTAGACAACTTATAAGCATAACATTACAATATATACAGGTATTCCACACTATGGTATTATTGGAATAACACACTGGCATTGAGAAAATCATGATAATCTTATTGGCCAACTGTTTTCTACAAATATACTTGTGGCAAATAACATCAATGGTGATGTTTCTGCTTTTTGGCATATTCCTGGTTTTTAAGGCCATTTTGGGAAGTTGTTATTTTTTATCATAAATCTATGTTATTTGTTGTTTATAAACAATCCATGCCCTTTAATTTATTAACAACTCTCAAAATCTCTACCTCTGGAAACAGCTATTATTTGCTAATCCAGATCTCTATACACAGTCGCCTGTCTATGTTTAGCATCTTCATTAGGAATCAGTAGGAAAAGAACTCTTCTTTCGCGTACCGTATCTATGACCCTCCTAAGCATCAGGCCACCAAATGAATGCCCGCAGGAAACAAGCGTAGCATCTTCAAGGAATGCACCACTGTGGCATACAAATCAGTAAGGAATGTCAGTACTCATTAATCTCTTTTATCAATGCTTGTAATAGGCTGTTATAATATCAATCAGATTCCATCATGAATATCAAGAAAACCAAATCAAATAACAAGAAGAACTAAGTTAATTATTCAAGTTTTCGAAGGATGGTAGGCAGGGAGATGGGAATTAAGAGATGTAGAAAGATCAATCATCCAAAAGGTAAAATTTTGGCAGGTAGAAGTAGGCCCATGAACATAATTGTTTGTCCACATGCAAGAGAGAGAGAGAGAGAGAGAGAGAGAGAGAGATCTAACACACAAATATACAATGTTTCCCAGAACTATCAGATTTGTGAAAATATGCTTCTCTTAGAATGAACAACATATCATAGATATAACATTTGAATAGAAAAGGATGGTACAACTTGGTCCACATTCATACATTGGCCACGCATTTTTCATGGCATGCTCAGCTGCTGCCTCCTGGCTGCTAAAGGTATGCTTGCAACTCTGTGGATCCAACTCTAAGCATCAAAAACTATTATGGTTTTCTGAAAGTAAGCTATGAATTCCAAGCATGAAAGTCTAGTGATTTGCGAAAGTACAAGTATGAGCAACATATAATATGCTTCCCCCGAAAAAACAGATGAAAACAGTCACATCCCTTGGTAATAAATGGAGAATCTACAGTGAGATGTGTAGAAAGAACAATTCCTAAAGCTCATTACTGTTAAGGCTGTCTAAAACTGCAAGCTACATGAGGTCCTCAATGTTATGGACCCATTATGCATTGAGTTAGTAATTTATGTTACTCTGTATTGGTTTGCCGGATATGATAGCACTCCGTAAATTGAGCTAAAATAGTAATAAAGCAACCAATAAAACATTTGAAGACGGGATAACTTACGATAATGAATCTGAAAGAACACTTCTCAATGTTGGTTCTTTGTTAACATTAGTCCGCGCCACCTGTTGATCCAGATCCCACCATGAGACTTAATTTTCTTTCTAACGTGACTAGATCCGCCAACTTCAGATAAATACTAGGTTGTACACGAAGAATTAAAATTTCTACCCCAAAGCTTAATCTAAAACTTGCCACTTAGTTGGGCATATAATATGACAAACCACCGTTAGAAAAGGTCTCCACAAAATGAAATCTGTTAACATGTAAATGTAAAAGTATAGACACGCTACAACTTAATAAAAAAATTTGGTTAAGGAAATATGACAGAGAGCAGAAGGTTTCAGGTATACAAACTCACATATATAGATATATACTATGCATACATATGTATATCTGTACACATACATGGAGTAGTCAAAAGCATACATAAGCATAAACAGAAGAAAGAAACTTAACCAAAGTGGAATTAGCCGCCAATTTGGCCTTCCATAAAAGATGGATTAATGGAGGGATTCAGACGAATCCTATTAAAGTGGGTCATCTTCTATCACTCTAAACGCTGGACTAGAAAAAGAATTGGCAAAAATTTCAGCCTGCCCTACCAGTCTGGAATAAAAACTTTGTTGTTTGCTTCCATTCCAAATTAAAATCGGGATGGTAATGGAAATCAACAAACGAGCTTCACAGGCATGCTAGGAAGGTTTATGTACATGCTCAAGGTTTTACAAAAGGTAGAAATAGCTTAAAGAGGAGAAAATATGTTTCTAGTATTTATGGCTAGGCTGATACAAAAATTATGAAATCAGTAACCAGGTGAATACAGTTTCACATAATAGATCACATTCAAGTATGGATGACTTACAAAAGCACTATCAGAGCGGTTGCAAAGTATATCTTCCTCAGCAGAAAGACCATCCATAAACTGGCTTACAGAGATTGGAACATAGCTCTGGGGGATGACATGACCTGCAGCTGTTATTGGAGAACAATCTAATATAGCATTGCCTTGTGGCATGAGCCTAAACACCAATGATGATCTACAAAATAGAGATGTAAAATTACGAGGTTAAGGAGAGCCTAAAAATGAAATCATATTCCGGGAGTGAAATACTGCACTTCAACACCAACTAAAATCTACCGTCCAGGATTAGCAGAGGCAGAAGCATGATCAGTGACAGTCCTACATAAAGCAGCAGGGCGAAGGCCTGCGGTGGCATGGCTGAGTGCCTTCCCTATCAATAGTAAAAGGTCCCCAGGAGCTGAACCGCAATCTGCTAGGTACCAACGACCATTGGGGTCACAAACCTGGGAGAAAAGTAAACCAACTAATGTAAATGATCTCAAAGAACTAGCAATTAGACCAGGGGCGAATGGCTTGAGGGAGAGGGACTATGGGGGCCATGGACCCTGTATTTTTTCTCTCCTTAGTAGGGTTGGATGCATAAGTTAATAATATTTTAATAGAATTTTTACTTGGCCCCCTGCCTCAAATAGTCACCGCGAAGACACATTAATTAAAAAATTTAATTGGCTCCTTTATTGTTTGTGATTATTTAGGGATAAATATATATTGTTTATTTGTTACTTTGATTAGGGTTAAATATTGTTTGTTGTTATAATTAAGGCTAAATATAATTATTGTGAAACGACTACATTATGAGATGTATACTAATAAAGTAATGATTTTATATTTAATTATGAATCGTAAAGATTATGATTATGAAATATACTTAAATGAATTTTTGATGATATAAAGATCAAATAAAGTTATCATAACTGTAAACTCAATAAAATATTCTTAATGGACAACGAATAAAAATAATTGTCGGTTAAACTAAACATGTGCTAATGCATGGTTAGGAAACCAAGTACTAATGGATCAAGATAAAATTACGAGAAATATACAATTAAACTTGATGATATGAAACAATTAGAACAATCTAATCAGTTTTGGTAAGAGCATGATCTTTTGTATAAATGGTCGGATCTAAAACTGTCAAAAAATGGTATATTGATATTTTGTTAAACTGGACATCATGAAAGATTCGTACTTAATGAAAATTACATACATAGAATCTACTTTCTAAAGGAAATAAAACAAGTGCATTTGGAAACTGGAAAATGTGTTATTTATTTTCGGCCCCCTGATCACAAGGTCCGTGTTCTGCCCCTGAATTAGACCAAAGAAAGTAATATGTAAACGATCTAGTAGCAAAAGGTTTCATAATAGACCACAAAAAGTAGACAAGACATACTATCTTCAAGAAAAATCAGAACTACAGTGCAAAAAAGAACAATTCAAGAGTCAACCAGATAAAAATGTACCTGAAGGCCAGGAGCATCTGAACAGACCAATGTTAATAATCCTTTCTCAGTTTCACAGTTTGTCGTTATATTCCCTCCACCGAGAGCCCCTTTTCCATTTTGCAACAGCATGTGCCGGTAGGACGCAATGAGTACTGATGACGATGGCTCATTAACAGGTAACGGGCTATCATCGAGTAAATGATTAAAAACACTGCAATTACAAGTTTAAGCATAAATCGTTGGAATATTTGCACAAAAAAGAAAATAGAAAATAGAAAATAGAAAATAGGTAGAGAGATCTTCAAGTGCCAAAAAAAGTAATACTTGAACCCATAATCATCATTCTTACTCGCTTCGTAAACGAAGGTGCCTAGCAATTGCACATAAAGCAGCACGAGCGGCCTTTCCCATACATCTAAAAACATCTGCCATGCATGGCGGAGATGAATCCATATCTTCTAAGGTCCTGTCACATATCATGCTTATATCATGTAATACATTCTAATACACCAACACATCAAAATGTGTTGCCCATGTACTTGGAGAAGTGACAAACATTTGCAAATAATACAAGAACAGATAGCCATATTCAAAGACTGCACAAGTACACATAGGCTACCAAAAAAATCTTGCTAAAGAGAGAGATAATACTCAAATAGTTATGAATGATTTGTTATCAGAACATTAACATTTAATATGAATTTCCATAACCTTTTGTTTCCAATAAGACATCATATTTTGAAACACTACACTTCTTTTAGCATAGTTCAATGACCATGTAGCGGTCCTTCCCTAATGGAACAACCTCTGTAGTACCCTAAGGGGATGTTGTTAGCAAATGAGCTACTTGAGACTTGTATCTTATACGGTCAGCTATAGATGACTGTTTGGAAGTGGCTTAATGATGTAGATAGTGGCTATTCAGTAAGCTTTTAGGGGGGAGCTGTATGCAGAAAGCCAAGTTTTTTCCAAACCTGTCCCTCCCAATTAAAGAACATGCTCCTTCCGTTTATGAAAAAACCCTCCCAAACAAAAACTTTCCCAAGCTTATAGACAGATTAATCCACACAGGACTTATTGGAAAACCAACCAAAACAGCCCCTAAGATGATAAAATAAAGTCGTTCTATGATCATCGCAAGATCCCAAAGTGCTTCCCACAATCTCATTGTCACTCTTTGTCAAAGTCCTGTAATCAACTTCAAATTTTTGTGGTTTAGTGGATCTTTTTCTTTTACATTGTGAAAATAACCTAAAAACATTAGGCTCATTCTCTTCAGTTTTTGTCTTCTTGATGAAGTTCTTCGAATACAATTATAATATAAGCAGCCTACTTTGCACAAACCTAGAAACAAATTGAACAATCCCTTTTATGGGTTATTACTACCCTCTACTACTTATCTCATCCATAATCATGGATACAAAGAATGCACAAAGCTAGACAAAGAATTGATCTGCAATGAGTTCAAGAACAAGAAACACTAGTAATGAAGCAACTAATCTAAATTAGTTAGACCCATGATGAAATTTATACAACTTCATCATATTTACTCATCTAAGTGTAACCCTTAGCCAACATCATATGCTCTCTTATGAAAGAAGCATGATCTTTGTATGGAAACTTAAATAACTTCATAATCTCCCGGAATTCAAGTTGCAGCACCCACAAATGTGCATCTTCATTACAAGCTGCACCTCATTTTCCTCATTCAAACAATAAAACTAATTCATATAATTTATGAACAACTGCCTCAAAAGCGCCAATATAATGCACGATTTCAACCCTCAGGAAAAGAAGTAAAAGAAACCCATAGGAGAAGGCACATACCTTCCTGCTCTGTACATATAAACCCCACGACTACTCTTACTGCTACTGCACTTAGCACCACTTTGAGCCCTAATCCTAAAATACAACCTGGCGGATTCCAACCCGCACCTCATCAAAGCTTCATCTTCACTTCCCAGCTCGATCACCACTGCGTTGTACCTCGTAAGTGAGTCTGATAAGACCTCAACTGCCCTCATATAACAACTCGAAGGAGCTCCATCATAAGGGACTAGTTCCGAGAGCCGTACTCTGGCCAGCGACGGGGAGGAGGTCATGGTCACGGCGTGGTGGCGGTGATTGAATATAATGATCTACGAAGGTGGAAATTTATATGGTGCGTTACAAGAGCAGTGGTCTGTTGCTGCTGCTGATGCATCATGAAGATCCCGACCATTGATCATTTTCAGAAACTGAAGAAACAAATAGTGATTGGATGAGAACTAGGGTTTAACTGGGGCTAAAGGTTCTTTTTTCGTGGAATTGGTGGCAATTGAGTTGTGAATGGGGTTTTGAAGGTTTTTGGTTTGGGTGCCGGCGGGACAGAAGGTCGTCTGAGATGGAATCGGGAAAAACACTCGTGTCTGGGTCGCAGGTGTAGCTTGATGGGGGTCTGGAATCAAAATCGTGAACCAATTTGTAAAAATGTATGCATTAAAATATATTTTATGAAAGGATTAAAATATTAATGGGGTGTTTTGGGATTGTTTAGGTAAAACATCTCATGCTATTTTTAGAAGTGCTTATTAATTTAGAACGGTATCAAAAAATAATAAGTTGATAAATTATTTTTTAGTGTTTATTAAATTTTGTTTATATATGTAAAATGATTAAAAAGTACAGTTTTCCATATTATTGAGTTACGGGAGTGTTTGGGATTGCTTATTAACTTATTTGATTTTTTAACAGGTAAATTTTTTTCATCATTTATAATAATATTTTTGACAAAAATTTATATCAATAACATTAATAATTTATATCAATAAGATTAATAATTAACAAATATTAATAAAATAGAGTTAAAATTGTAAACTGGTAATAAACAATTTTTCATAAGTCTGGAAGGATTAACTTATCAAAAACTGCTTATTATCGGTTTGGCACCGGTATAAGCAGTTTTATTTTTCCTCATCCAAACACTAGCATTTAGCTTATCATCGGTGTCAGACTGAAACAAGTTTAAAAGCACCTAAAATAAGCAATCCCAAACACCCCCTAAATTATACGATTAATTACATTTTTTAAAATGGAGAAAATAGCGGTATTATAAAAACTGAAATATTCATATTTATTATCGATTGGTATATAATCTATACTATATTATAAAGCCTTTGATAAAAACTCTTAAAAACATTTTTTTATGCATGAAGTATTGTTTATCGATGTATATTATTTAAAATTTAATATTACAAATAAATTGTGGATAAGTACAACTTATTAAAACTTTATGTTTGAATTTATGTAACTAACTGCAAATAAACAGAATCAAATACAAGATAAACATTTCATTTTAAATATAAAAAATCTAAATTATAATTAGGATAATTATTGAATTCCAACAGAATACTTTATTATTATTCTTGTAAAAAATTATATTATTAAATCAAAAATAAATTACTTCGTTACTAAATCTATATTAAATTATAAATAAAAAAATTGAATTGAATAAATTACAAAAAAAACAAGAACTTTTAAATAATTAATTTCTTACTAATATTGATATATTTATTTTTGAAATTTTATGATATCTTCAAATTTATATTTTATTCAAAAACAAAAACATTATTCATTTTCCAAAACCCCGTAAAAACATTATTATAACATCTACATAGATGGAATAAAACGAAATATTAAAATCTAGATATATCTCGCAGCATTGCGTGAGTATCATTCTAGTACCTAATAAAGTTTTTCTTTTGATAGAATAGTTTTAAGATATTTGTATTTTATAGAAGGATTTGGAACCAGAGAGATTTGAAGTCTTTGGTATATTTGGTTTGTAATAATTGGAATTGAATTGAATTCCATTTCATATGAATAATTTATAAAAACAAATTATAAACAATTGTAAAAATAATTAAATTATTTTTTTATTAATTGATTATTTCAAAACAAATGTTTTTAAACATATTATAACACATTATTACATGTAAATCCCATGAAATACCAAACATCCCCGTGAGATTTCAAAATCCAATGTTTGTGGAATTTCAAATCCAGGAAATCCTTTAAACCAAATATGAGATCATAATAAAATTTAATTCCAAATCCAATCTAATCCCACATGGTTCATTGAATTCAAATGATTTCAAGGGAATTGGAATGGTCAGTTAACATGTCGAATTCGATAATCATCTTCAATGCAAAAAAACATAAAAGACGAGGGTGAAAGTTGCATCATATTTATATAGTGTAACACCCGGAATTTTGCTCCCTTGGATATTCTGACTTTAAAATGTATCTTCTATTAAGTTTTAGTATAGGAAATTAATTAAAATAACTATTTTTACCAGTTGTTTCACCTCTTAGTTACTTCTTTATAATGTTTATCAAAATAGCCCCTAGGTCCGCAACTTTAATTTTTTTTGTGGAGCTGGGTGAAAATTGTAAATTTTTTTGCGAGCCTAGGTGAGAAATATCAATTTTTTTGCGGACCTGGGTGAAAAATATTATTTTGTTACGGACAGGGGTAGAAAGTGTAAAAAAATTGTCTTTTAGCTAGGTCCGCAACTGCGGACGTAGGTTATCGCGGACCTATGGCTATTTTGGTAAACTTGGAGAGAAAATGATTATTTTAATAAATTTCCCTAAGTTTGATAATTATGAAATGATATTGATTGAATTTATATGTTAAGACCTAAGAAAGAGGCATTTGGGAGTCAACCAGAAGGCAAAGTGGGTTATCAAGCGAGTTTGGCAGCACACAACCCGCATTAGGAACTGTTTGCCCGAGTTTTTGGATGTGGGTGACTTTGGCGCGGAGTTAGCCATAGCCAAAGTCACATTCATAGTGTTGGTCGTTTTTAAACCCGATTTTTTTAGGGTTTCTTCACCTAGGGGTTGTTTACCAACACTTACCCGGGTAAGTGCTTACTGGAAAAATTCAAAACTATCAGTTACTTACCGAGTAAGACTTTAATCCACCAAAACGGTATCGTATGCAACAACAAACCCGGTAAGTGCTAACCGTGGTAAGAGTCGTCGTCATCACTTACCGGGTAAGACTTTCAGTACTTGTCTTCACTCTTAACGGGTAAGACTCTTGGTCCTTGCCATAATGATTCGGTAAGGTAATGTGACTTGATAAGCGCTTACCCGGATAAGCGTTTTGGTAAACGACCCCTTAGTCGCTCTAATAAGATTTGAAGGTGTTACACGTAGTTACAATGCAAGTAAGACAATAATACTTACATCTAATCATGTTACAGATTAAAAGTCAATTCTATTTCGAAAATGGAAACATTTGGAATTTTTTCAAATAATATAAAAACAAGATAACTGTTTATTTTATCAAACCATATCTCGTAGGAACTCTCGAATCATGTCTATTGGTTCGAGAGACTGACTTATAACAAGTTGGATCAAAAGCCATTGATACGTTACAGACGGAACTAATTTATTGGTTGATTATGTTCAGTTTTAAAACTGCACATTTTCAGCTTCTCGAACCTCCTCCTCGGTCTTATTGCCTTTCTTACTTTTGTAGTACACTGACATAAAGTTCCCAACCGCTTTGTACTTCCTGCGACACTTGTCGTAAAGCTCACCATCAAACATCCTCCAGAAATCCTTCTCGCTGAGTTCAGTGACCGCATATTGTGTCTCAAACCCATGGTTATCAATCAACCAGCTCTCCATTTGACGAACTGCACCAACCCCATCAAATACTTCACCCCTCAACACGGGTCGCGGTGAATAGTAGAGCCCGATATCTGTGTACATCTGGGCGTCTACGGTGTCCCCTCGCCTACGTTCTTGCTCAAACCCCGGCTCGGGATACACCATCGCTTTATGTGGGTGCTTGTATAGTTTGTGTGGGCAAAGCCAAATGGGATATACCTACAAACATACAAAAGACAGATCCCATGAAAATGGCAATTTTAAGTCTTTTAAATAACGAACATTATTAGAGTTTCGTATCCACTTAAACTTTGACTTATTTTTCTCAATATATGTTGGAACCTTCGTTCTCTTCTCAATGACTCTTTTAAAAAGTAATATAATGTATTTGTCATATTTAAAATTTAATATTAAATACATGATCTATCACTTAAGAACTCGACACATATTTCCTTTCAAGCACATTTTAAATTCAGGGAACAAAAAAGAGCCCGCATTTCGGGTTGAAAAAACGCCCAATCGGGCTTTTTTGGGCTAGGTTTTTTTAAGGCTTAACTGAGCTTTTCCAATTTGTTAAAGGTCGGGCTTTTCGGGACAGGTGTGCCCCCAAAATCCCGACTACGTACCTCCATTTCACGATCCGCCCATTCTAAAGCATCGGAAACCTTATGAAGAGGAACAAGCAAGTCTTGAACCACATGCATTTCATGATAATAGTTTCGAAGGGCTTCGCCTTGGGTGGCTTTCATCAACGAAATTTTTGGTGGCATCATCCAACCAAGAAACAATCGAAACCACCATTGATCGGCAAACAGAAGAATAAGCTCGACTTCCCAGAATAAACTTCGAGTGTGCCGATGATAATACTCTCGAGTCGGTATAAACTCTACGAATTCGCCTTTCTGTAACGCCTTCTGAGCGTGCTGAAAGAACCACGGCTTGAACCACCATCCGGTCCTATTGATCGTGTTCCCTTTCTTCTCCGCTTCTTCCTTCGAAGCATATTTTCCCGTCATGCAAACGGCTTCGTGCGGATTGTAGATCAACGTTTCCACGAAATCGGGAACCTTTTTGCCGTCGGTTTCTCCAAATTCAGGTGCGAAAGAATCGATATATCCGTCCACGAGATCGCGTAGGTTACCGCGTACGGGCTTATAAGTCAATTTCATGTATTCTTTGATGGGTATAAGCTTGATTTCGGCACAAATAAGCAGGCCCAAGGTCCCTTGAGACCATGGGACGGCGTAGAAAAGATCAGAATACTCGTTATCCTGCGTGGCTCGAACAACCCGTCCGTCTGCAAGAAGAATCTCGTAAGCCACAACGGTATCAGAGAAAAGCCCGTATAAATGAGAGCTTCCTTCGATTCCGAAACCGTTAATGAGCCCTCCGATGGTAAGATCTTCAAGCTCAGCAACAACAGCAAGTGCAAGATTCATTGGAACCGTGGCTCGCGTGATCTGACCCATCGTAACCATGGGTTCGCATTTCACCACCATTCTCTTGTGATCAATTTCAAGAATGTTACATAAAGCCGAGAGGTCTACATCGAAATGGCGAGCTCGTTTGTAGTCGACGTTCCGCATGCCCACTGAAACCCAGGGTTTTCGGGCTGTGCAGACCAGACCGTCCTTGGATGGGTTCCTTTCTTTTAACCGTTTGATGGCTTTCAAGACGTTTTCATCGTGCTCCTTTTGGCGCTGCTTGTAGGACTTGGATTCGGATCTAAGTTCGCCAAGATAAGTGAGGAAGTGGAGTATAACAGAAATGGGAAGCATAAAAAAGACGACGAAAATCCATCGGAATCGGACCAAATGATCGACCCATGTCTTCTTCCTCTTCGGTCTCACTATCGGAGTCTTCATATTCGACGTTCGGGTCGATCGAGATCTGTAGAATATTCAAGAAAAGTATCGGATGATTTCTAACCCGAAAACACAGAATTACGACATTTTATAAGTTTATAAGCATTTGAAAACCTTGGATATGGTGTTGTAGGTGCTCAAAAACCTAATTAACCCGATCAACCCAACGTGAAATAACTCAATCAGAAGCAACTCGATGTTTTATCGAGTTATAAAATTTTCAAATCGTAGGTATTGGGTTGATATTGAATTACTATTATTTGAACTCAACTCAACCCAATATCATTTTATTTCTTTGATTTAATATGATTGTTGAATTTCTATCAATATATATATATTAGACAATTACACTATCGCGTATACTCTTCATATACACATATTTTCAATCTATTCATATTTCTATATATAACTCATTCGTATATATGATCAGCAACTGTGAACATATATATGTAAATTGAGAAGATGAACTGAATGTGATATATATAAGAAGTATGGATAAGTTGTATCAAATAGTTGATAATGAAAAATAAATTATGAGTAAAGAAATAACATATTCAATGTTAGAAGAATATTTTAATGTATCAACCCGACAAACCCTTACAATTTAGGTTGAGTTGGGTTAAGATTTTTCAAACCGCAAAGATTGATTTAAGTTGTTCAAATGTCTTCAACCCAATGAACCCAAAGAACAAGTAGCCCTTATATGGAAGGACATTAAATGATGTCAACAATGAGGAACGGCTACAACACTAAGAGTGGCTCCATGTACTAATTTAGGGTATTGTTTTGACAAACATACACCATCTTTAAGACCACCTTTTTATAAGCAAACTGTGAATGGTATTGGATGTATCGTTAGGTTGTGTCGAGTCAAATCTGCTCCGTTTTTTTTCCATAACAACTCTTGCTCCCTCGTCATTTTTATAACAAATTCACTCTTTTTAGTTTTTTTTTATTTATAAAAATCTTGGTTTTTATTATGAAGTTTGTACGAAGGAATTCCTAGTTTTATGTAGAGAAAAGTCTAAAAAAAATCTTAATAGACTTTAGTATTTTGAATGATTAAGTCATTAGACAGTTTTTTTAAAACAAATAAGTTATTGGATACTACAAAACATGTTAAATAACTACTTGGACTTTCTAAAACATGTTAGATACATCTTTATGACCTATACAACTGGTTAATGTGGTGAAATAATAAAAACAGTTTGAAAAAAAAATCAATAGACTTTCATATTTTGAACGATTAAATCTCTAACATTTTTTGTACAAAAAAATATTTACATCTATAAAATGAAACAAATATACCAAAAAAGTAATTATATTTAAAAAAAGA